GCGCCGCCCGCTGCTCAAGCGTAATCAGCACCTCTGGAGCGAGATGCGCGTGACGTCACGGATCTCGGACATGCCTAACAAATACACGTTTACTCAAAAATAAAAAAATCATCAGCGGCGTGGTGGCGGCGTGGTAGTCCAGCATACTTGCGAGAGGCTGGAGGCAAGGAGAATAGCGGAACCCCCGGGAGGCGGAGCTTGCAGTGAGCCGGGAGATCCGCGCCACCTGCATCCAGCCCCCTGGGCGACAGAGGCGAGAACTCCGCTCAAGAAAAAAAAAAAAAAAAAAGAAAGGAAAAGTTACAAGCTATCACCCAATTAAAAAAACTCTCCGCCGTTCACTAAAGTTAAAATGACTCTGCTTTGAATAATTCCTCCAACCGTAAAAAGTAATTCAAGGGCCAGTCCACGACGGCTCCACACCTGTAATCCCAACAACGTGCGGCAGGCCGAGGCAGGTGGAATTCAACGAGGGCAGGAGTTCAAGACCAAAAGCCGTGGCCAAGAATGGTGGAAAACATCCATCCTCTAACTAAAACTACACAAAATTACCCTACCGGCCGCCAGTGTGGCCAGGCATCACCCTGTTAAACCCCAGCACTCGGCGAGGGTCTGCAGGCAGGAGAAACGCTGAACCCCCTGGCCAGCAGAGGTTTGCACCTGCAAGCTCCTGTCTGGGCAACACAGTAAGACTTTTGTGCTCAAAAAAAAAAAAAAATAAGTATCCCAAAAGAAAAAGGAATATTGATGATTTCGCTTTTTCTTTTTTGAGACAGAGTCCCCCTGTAACACAGGCCTGAGTGGCAGTGGCCGTCGCTCGGCTCACTGCCAAGTCTCGCCACCTATCCCCGGTCACGGCCAATCCTCCTGGCCTCAGCCTCCTGAGTAGCGGACTACCATGCGCGCCACACACCCCCTAATGTTTTTTGTATTTTTATGGAATACGAGCGCTTTCACTGTTTTAACCCAGGAGGTCTCAACCTCCTGACTCGGATCCCCCACCCCTGGCGCCAAAGTGCTGGATTACAAGGCATGGATCACGTGCGCCCAGCCGAAATAAATATTAATTCTATAACGTGCCACTGTACACAGTCTTTACGTAAAAGCATCAATTTAAAGTAATTACAGAACATTCGAAAAGGGGTAAAGAAAAAGGGGCTTGGTAAAACAACAAATTGGTCAATTAAACAACACCAATTTTACCCTTCAAAAAAAAAAGGGTTCCTTTTATGTTCCGCGAAATAAAAAAAAAAAAAAAAAAAAAACACCCCTTCAGGCTGGGCGCAGTGGCTCAAACCTGTAATCCCAGCACTTTGGGAGGCCGAGGCAAGTGGATCATGAGGTCAGGAGTTTGAGACCAGCCTGGCCAACATGGTGAAGACTTGCCATGTACTTCAGCGTGGGGGACAGAGTAAAACCCTTTCAAAAGAAAGCCCTCCCAAAGCAAAACATAAACAGCGAGGTTAGAAGAATAAACCAATATATAAACCTTAAGATCACAAAATCAAAAAGCATCTAGAAACTAATCGAAATGTAAACAAACAAAAAACCCCAATGCTGTTTTTTTTTTTCTATCTAGTGAGGACTAGATTAAAGAAGAGGTTTTTATGAAGCAATGTCTAAGTCAGTCATTTTTTTTAAAGTATTTGTTTCTTCATTTAGAAGTATTAACTGACACATCCTTTCCTATATGCTAGTTACTGTTCCAGGCATTGGGGATGATATAGTAAATAAGAGAGAAGAATATAGTAAATAAAAGAGAAGGTCCCTGCTCTCTTGGAGTTTATGTTTTAGTGGAGTAAGGTACCATTAATATGCAAACAAACACACGAATAAGGTAATTTCCAATAATTATAACAAAATAAAACCGGACGAAGTGATGAAGAATAGTTGAACACTAATAAAAAGCACAAAAATGCAAAAAAAAGTGGCATTATAAAGACGGTGAAAAGGACACTTATTTACAGTATGACAGCTGATATAAAAAGGCAGAACATGACCTTGTTCATCCTTAGCTGGGAATGTGTGCACAGGTTGATTCGACTTTTCATGACTCCACACATGACCAATGCTCTGTGTCCCCCCAATATTCGTAAGTTGAAGCCCTATCTCCCAGTGTGACAGTATTCGGAGAGAGGGCCTCTAAGGTAGTAATTAATGTAAAATGAGGTCACGAGAATAACATCCTGATTTGAGAGGATTCGTGCCCTTGAAGAACAAGACACCAAAGAGCTCACTCCTCTTCCTTCCTCCCCATGAGGACACAGCAAGAAGGTGGCCATCTACAAGCCAGGGAGAGAGCTCTCACCAGAGACCAATCAGCCAGAACCTTGATCTTGAGGTTCTAGTCTCCAGAACTGTAAGAAAATAAAATTTCTGTTGTTCAAGCCACTCGAGACTATAGTATTTTTGTTATGGTAGCCTGAGGTGACCACAACAGATTTTAGTATAAAGATATGAGGTATGGTGGGTTGGGGGGTGAGAGAAGTGAGATACTACTATAACAAATACCTAAAATGTGGAAGTGATTTTGAAATTGGGTAATAAGCAAAGGCTGGAAAAGTTTTGGGGCACATACTGAAAATATGGACATTAAGGGCAATTCTGGTGAGGCTTTTTTTTTTTTGAGATGGAGTCTCGCTCTGTTGCCCAGGCTGGAGTGCAGTGGCATCATTCTCAGTTCACTGCAACCTCCATCTCCCTGGTTCAAGCAATTCCCCCGCCTCAGCCTCCCCAGTAGCTGGGATTACAGGTGCCCGCCACCACGCCCAGCTAATTTTTTTGTATTTTTAGTAGAGATGGGGTTTCACCATGTTGGCCAGACTGGTCTTGAACTCCTGACCTCAGGCACTCTGCCCGCCTCAGCCTCCCAAAGTGCTGGGATTACAGGCGTGAGCCACCACGCCCGGCTATTCTGGTGAGACTTTATACAGAAATGAGGAACACGTTATTGAAAACTGAAGGAAAGCTGGTGCTTAGTATAAAGTGGCAAACAACTTGGCTGACTATGTTCTAGTATTTTATGGAAGGTAAAACTTGTGAGAAATGAAATTGGCTATTTATCTCAGGAGATTTCTAAGCAAAGTGTACAGGAAGTGGCTTGGTTCCTCCTAGATCACTTATAGTAAAAATGAAAGAGGAGACAGATGAATTGAAGAAGGAATTGTTCAGCAAGAAGGAACCAGAACTTAGAGATGTGGAAAATTCTCAGCCTATCCATATTGCTAAAAATAAGAAAGCTTGCTCTAGAGAGAAGACCAAAGGTAGGGTTGAACAATCACTCTATAAATAGATTATCCATGATGTTAATCAGCCATCTCAGCAGATGCCAGTGACAGATAAGGGATTATAACGGCAGAAACACTGCTAGTTTGAAGTAAAGAAGACAGAGAAAGTAGGAAAGAATGAAAGAAGACTGTTGGACTTCCTTGATTCCACAAGACAAAACCATTAGCTACTTGACTGTGAATGTGCCCTATTCCTCAACAAAAGGAAAGAATGATGCCAAAGGGGATCACAGATCCTCAGAGCTGCCACTCTTTACATATGCCCAGGGGGCAATGCTATGTTTTTCTTGGTTTCAGAGGGTGGGGCCCTTGCAGAGAGAGGAAGGGACAGGGTCACCCCATAGAGCAGTAGGGTGACTCTGCTACTGCAGTGGGCCTGGAAGGCAGAGCATCAAAGCAAAGGATGATTCTTTTTATTATTATTTTTTTGAGACAGAGTCTCACTGTTACCCAGGCTGGAGTGCAGTGGAATGATCTCATGTCACTGCAACCTCCTCTGCCTCTTGGGTTCAAGTGATTCTTCTGCCTCAGCCTCCCGAGTAGCTGTGACTACAGGCACACGCCACCATGCCTGGCTAATTTTTGTATTTTTAGTAGAGATGGGGTTTCACCATATTGGCCAGTGTGGTCTCAAACTCCTGACTTTGTGATCCGCCTGCCTCAGCCTACCAAAGTGCTGGGATTACAGGCATGAGCCACCGTGCCTGGCCAGCAAAAGATTATTCTTGAGCCTTATGGTCTAATGAAATTTGCCTTGCTAGGGACCCATAATCCTTTAGGGAATGTTCATCCTATGCCTGTCCTACTATTGTATTTTGAAAGCATATAAGTTGCCTGATTTCAAACGTTCACAGCTGGAAGGGAATTTCACCTCAGGATGAATTATAACTTGAATCTCACCAATCTCTGATTTAGATAATATTTAGATGAGGCCTGGGACTTTTAAGAGTTGATGATGGAACCAGTTAAGACCTTTGGGACTGTGTGGATGGAATGGATACAAGAAAAACATGAATGTGGTGGGTGGGGGGGCAAGGGGCCAGGGGCAAACTTCTGGGAACTCAATTGTGTCCACTTAAAATTCGTATGTTGAATCCCTAAACCCCAACGTGAATGTATGAGGAGAAAGGACTTCTAAGGAAGTAATCAAAGTTAAATAAGTTCATAAACATGGGACCCTAATAGCCTCCTTGTAAGAAGAAACATCAGGGTCCGGGCACGGTGGCTCACGCCTATAATCCCAGCACTTTGGGAGGCCGAGGCGGGCAGATCACAAGGTCAGGATATTGAGAACATCTTGGCCAACATGGGGAAACTCCGTCTCTACTAAAAATACAAAAATTAGCCAGGCACGGTGGCATGCACCTGTAGTCCCAGCTACTCTGGAGGCTGAGACAGGAGAATCGCTTGAATACGGGAGGCAGAGGTTGTAGTGAGCCGAGATCACACCATTGCACTCCAGCTTGGGCGACAAAAGCAAAACTCTGTCTCAAAAAAAAAAAAAAAATTAAGAAAAAAAAAAAAAGAAGAAACACCAGGGAATTCACTCTCTCCTTCTTTTCCTCCCTATCATATGAGGACACAAAGAAAAGATGGCTGTCTGCAAGCCAGGAAGAAAGCCCTTGCCAGAAACTGAATCAGCTAGAACTTTGATCTTGAACTTCCAGGCTCCAGAACACCAAGAAAATTAATTTCTACTGTATTTATTTATTTAATTTTTATTTATTTATTTTGAGACAGTCTCTCTGTTGCCCAGGCTGGAGTGCAGTGGCACGATCTCGGCACACTGCAACCTCTGCTTCCCAGGTTCAAGAGATTCTCCTGTCTCAGCCTCCCAAGTAGCTGGGATCACAGGCGCATGCCACCACACCAGGCTAATTTTTGTGTTTTTAGGTAGAGATGGGGTTTTGCCATGTTAGCCAGACTGGGTGACAGAGCAAGACTCTGTCTCAAAAAAAATTAATTAATTAATTAACATAAATAAATAAAATAACAAAGAGATGGCATTTTCCATGCAGAATCCTGGCAAAAATATTCATAAGGTCAGGATGATGGGTAACAGGCATTCTCATATATTATCAGTAAGAGTAGAAATTGGTGCAATCTTTCTGAAGGGTGATTTGTGTTCAAGAAAAAATTATTCTAACACTTCTTAAAACAGTAAGGAGACCATATTCAAGACTATTCCAATAGGGGTATCACAATAGGGGAGAGAGATTGGGTTCAAACCAGAATACAAAGACAAGTGGGGATTCACAACCAAGAGCAAGGTGAAGGGGTCAGTGAATGAACAATTACTAACAGTAAGACATCAAAGGTAGGGAAATTCTTGCTAAACTGACCGAACAGGATTCTTACTAAAGGCAGGCCAGCCAGGTGAGCAGCCTGGCCAACATGCAAAACCCTGTTTCTACTAAAAATACAAAAAAAAAAAAAAAAAAATTAGGCGGGCATAATGGCGCATGCCTGTCATCCCAGCTACTTGGGGGGCTGAGGCAGGAGAACTGCCTGAACCCGGGAAGCAGAGGTTGCAGTGAGCCAAGATCGCGCCACTGCACTCCAGCCTGGGTGACAGAGCAAGACTCCATCAAATCAAAAAAAATAAACAAACAAAATAAAGGCAGGCCAAGGATTTAAATATCAAAGGTGGGGAATGAGGAACGTGATCAGATATCAAAGGTGCTCAGACTACCAAATGTGAGAGATTCTCTATGAAGCTTAGCAGGTTTCTTTGCTAAGACTGGGCTGGGTAGGCCAAAGACAGGATGGGGCCAAGTTCGGTCAAAGACAATCTTTGTCACTGACAATGTTTATCAAAATTAAAGGGCCAGGCACAGTGGCTCATGCCTGTAATCCCAGCACTTTGGGAGGCCGAGGTGGGAGAATCGCTTAACCCTAGGAGTTGACTCCATTTCTACCAAAAAAAAAAAGGTAATACATGATGGCATGGTAGCTCAATGTAGCCTTGAACTGCTGGGCTCAAGCAATCCTCCCACCTCAGCCCTGCTCCACCCAGCCCTTGGTAGCTGAGACTACAGCTACACCACACACGGTTAATTTTTTTTTGGTAAAGACAATGTCTTACTATGTTGCCCAGGCTGGTTTTGAACTACTGGGCTCAAGTGATCCTCCCACCATGGCCTCCCTAAGTGCTGGGATTACAAGTATGAGCCACTGCACCTGGCCAATAGTGATCAACTTTGGGGGGAGGCACTAGAAAACAGTAGCAGAAGGAAGTTTTTATTCTTCATTTCATACTTTTCTATACAATATGGTTTGACAGGAGCTATTCCACTATCACTGGAAATGAAACTTCTATATTATTTCAATTTCTTACTCTGGGCATAAACTATATATACATATACATATACATACACAAAACAAATATAAATATAAATAAATTGTAGGTCAAGGAAGGAAGAGGTCTTCTCAATTGGCTTTGACTTTGATTTTATGCTATTGTACTGGTTATTTTTTCATGCTTATCAAACACCTCAAAAAACTGTTGTTTAGTTACATTTCAGTAGTCTGACTCATACCTTTGAGTGTTCTGAAAGGAAATCTGGAAGAAGATAAACTTGTGCCAGTAACTCCGTGTAGTCACGACAGCGAAAATAATAAATATGGGAAAGAATATTATCAAGAGTGAAATCCTCCAAAGCTTTTCGGTGTTCTGAAACAACAAAACAATCTTAATTAGTTTTACCTGTTTGGATGTGCTGGCAATTGTAACAAAACAATACTTTTTAATAACAAAATGTTCTCCTTTGTATAACAAAATTCTTTAACAGAAAGATGACAAACTGTAGCAAAATTACCATAAACTATCAGTTCACAATTTCTGATCTCTCTCTTAATTTGTTTAGAGGTAAGGTCTCACTCTGCCCAGGTTGGAGCACAGTGGCACAATCATAGCTCACCGCAACCTTGAATTCCTAGGCTCAAGGGATCCTCCTGCCCTAGCCTCCCAAAGCACTGGAATTACAGGCATAAAGCACTGTGTCCAGTCCCTTGAATTTTTTTTTTTTTTTTTCAGATAAAGTCTCACTCTGTTGCCCAGGCTGGAGTGCAGTGACATGATCTCAGCACACTGCAACCTCTGCCTCTTGGGCTCAAGCGATTGTCCTGCCTCAGCCTCTTGAGCAGCTAGGATTATAGCCACTCCCCACCACACCTAGCTAATTTTTGTATTTTTAGTAGAGATGGGGTTTCACCATGTTGGCCAGGCTGGTCTTGAACTCCTGACCTCAAGTGATCAGAGCCGCTTCAGCTTCCCAAAGTGCTGGGATTACAGGCATGAGCCACCACACCCAACCTGATCTTTTACTTTCACATTTTCCACTGTTTCCTATTAGGCAATGTAAAATTATTTATAAACATATATAACCAGTATTTTAATGCCTGCCTTTTCATATTTCTAGTCACTGGCTTCATTGAACAGAAGTAACATAATGGAAGTTTCTCTTTCTTGTTTTTTTCTATAGGACTACAAATTAAGAGTTAATGGCAGCCTGGACAACATGGCAAAATCCCATCTCTGCAAAAAATACAAAAATTAGTCAGGTGTGGTAGTGTGCAACTGTGGTCATAGCTACTCAGGAGGTTAAGGTGAGAGGATCGCTTGAGCCTGGGAGGTCAAGGCTGCAGTAAGCTGTGATAGCCACACTGTACTCCAACCTGGGTGACAGAATGAAACTCCGTCTCAAAAAAAAGAAAAAGAAAAGTTAGGAAAAAATGTTCAAATGAAGCATTTTTTCTCTTGAATGCTGTAGTACAATTTGATATTTAATAGCAACAATTATATAAAATCTTTCTTAGCTTTGATGTTTAAAACAAACAGTTTGAGGCCGGGAGCAGTGGCTCACACCTGTAATCACAGCACTTTGGGAGGCTGGGTGGGTGGATCACTAGGTCAGGAGTTCAAGACCAGCCTAGTCAACATGGTGAAACTCCATCTCTACTAAAAATATAAAAATTAGCCTGGTGTGGTGGTGCACACCTGTAATCTCAGCTACTCAGGAGGCTGAGGCAGGAGACTTGCTTGAACCCAGGAGACAGAGGTTGTAGTGAGTCAAGATCTCACCATTGCACTCCAGCCTGGGCGACAGAACAAGACTCTGTCTCAGAAAAAAAGAAAAACAAACAAACAAACAAAACAGTTTGGTTTTACATCTATTTCAGAGAAAAACCAATAGAGTTACTGCATTTTCTCTTTTCTTTTTTTTTTTTTTTGAGACAGAGTCTCCCTCTGTCCCCCAGGCTAGAGTGCAGTGACACAATCTCAGCTCACTGCAAGCTCTGCCTCCCAGGTTCATGCTATTCTCCTGCCTCAGCCTCCCAAGCAGCTGGGACTACAGGCACCAGCCACCACGCCCAGCTAATTTTTTGTATTTTTAGTAGAGACGGGGTTTCACTGTGTTAGCCAGGATGGTCTCCATCTCCTGATCTCGTGATCTGCCGGCCTCGACCTCCCAAAGTGCTGGGATTGCAGGCATGAGCCACCGTGCCCGGCCAGTTACTGCATTTTAAAATGTACTTAGCCAGGCACGGTGAAACCCCGTCTCTACACGGTGAAACATGCCTGTAATTCTAACACTTTAGGATGCCAAGTCAGGCAGATCTCTTGAGCCCATGAATTCAAGACCAGTCTGGGCAACATGGCAAAATTCCATCTCTATAAAAAATGCAAAAAAAAAGTAGCTGGGCATGGTGGTGCCCACCTGTAGCCCCAGCTACTTAGGGGGCTAAAGTCAGAGGATCATCTGAGCCCAGGGAGGTCAAAGCTGCAGTGAACTGTGATCATGCCACTGCATTTCGGCCTGGGTGACAAAGTGAGACCGTTTCAAAAAAAGTAAAATATTAAAAATAAAATGTACTTAAATTTTAACTCTCAAAAAACAAGAAGCTATATTTTAGAACGGAAAATATTTCCTATTGCAAATATACACGTAACAAGAGTCAAATTTTCACCAAAACAATGCCAACTTAATCAATCTCATATCAATCATTTAAAAACTTTAGGCCAAGTGTGGTGGTTCACGCCTGTAATCCAGCACTTTGGGAGGCCAAGGCAGGTGGATCACGAGGTCAAGAGATCGAGACCATTCTGGCTAACACGGTGAAACCCCATCTCTACTAAAAATACAAAAAATTAGCCAGGCATGGTGGCAGGTACCTGTAGTCCCAGTTACTCGGGAGGCTGAGGCAGGAGAATGGTGTGAACCCGTGAGGCGGAGCTTGCAGTGAACTGAGATTGCGCCACTGCATTCCAGCCTGGGCAACAGAGTGAGACTCTGTCTTAAAAAATAAATAAGTAAATAAATAAATAAAAATTAAAACTTTACATCCCAGTGCTATACCTACTCTATTTACGGTAAGGTTTTAAGACACTAATACAAACACACATAGTGGCATGGGTATAGGGGAAGAAAAATTTTTTTCCTGCCACCCTCTTAGGTTTCTTGGCTGGAGCCCTGTAAACCGGACTGACAAAAGATGGATTAACAAGAGAAAAACAGTTTATTAATCATGCATAGTGCATGTAACAACACAGGGAAGTCCAGAGATTAGTAACTCAAAAGTTTGGTTAGATTTGGGGCCGGGCACAGGTGTTCACACCCATAATCCAAGCACTTAGGGAAGCCAAGGTAGGAGGATCACTTGAGGTCAGAAGTTTGAGACGAGTCTAGCCAACATGATGAAACACTGTCTCTACTAAAAATACAAAAATTAGCCAGGTATGGTGGCATGCGCCTGTATTTGCAGCTCCCAGCTACTTAGGAGGCTGAGTCAGGAGAATTACTTGAACCTGGGAGGTGAAGGTTGCAGCGAGTCAAGATTGTGCCACTGCACTCCAGCCTGGGCAGCAGAGCCAGATTCCATCTCAAAAAAAAAAAAAAAAAAGATTTCAGCTTATCTTCCCGAAGGTACAATAAATTTTTAGAGAAGTAACAAGACAAAGGAAAAGAACCATGAGTCTCTAAAGGCAGCAAATATTGAAACTAATTGGAGATAAAAGATAGCTAGTAAAATTTGTTATGTACGCTGATAACGGTCTAAAGTTGTTTGCGGTGATTAACTTTTGTCTTCCTGGTAAGAGAGGGAAGATGGGACTCTTCTGTACATTTATATCCTGTATTTAGGAAGGGTAGACAGATTTATCTGTTTCTTCTCAATTGCCTTCAGCTCAAAATAATCCTTATGCCAAAGTGGCTTATTTTGGGGTAGCATATTCTGCTAGGGCCCAAAGGGCTTTCAGTAAGCATGCCGGTCATCAGCAAAATGGGACACTTAGTACCTTCATTAAAAAAAAAAAAAAATCCTGCTGATTACACTCATTTAAAGGAAATCTTACGAAAAGCATTTTTTTTAAACTTCTAGAGGAAAGAATAAAGACCACACATCCAAAAAATAAATAAAACAAAGAAAAAGAAAACCCGTAGCTCACGCCTGTAATCCCAGCACTTTGGGAGGCTAAGGCAGGCAGATCATGAGGTCAGGAGTTTGAGACCAGCCTGGTCAACATGGTGAAACCCCATCTCTACTAAAAATACAAAAAATTAGCCAGGCAT